CGGCTTGCAGCATTTTAAGCTGGAGTTGGAGCTGGAGCTGAAGCTGAAGCTGGCCAGGTGCGAGGGCCAGCAGCAGTGGCACATTGAACTTCCCCAGGTGCTCAAATGTCGATTTGTTTTTGATGACGCTCTGTCCTGCCTTTTCTCACATTCATAATGACAGACGCTCAATGGCCAGACAAATCATAATTTTTCCAACTACCAACTACCACAAGAGGCAGTGCGGCGACTAGACTTGGGGTATAAATATCAAATTCATATTAGTTGCCAACCAAGCAGAAACCTTCACAACAAGTGGCTGACTTGTTGGCCGTTTGGCTTGGCTTATCGTGTGAACTAATCTAAGCAAAGTCACAGTCACAGAGTCACAGCCTGCTCCTCAGCTTACCCGCTTACCCAGTCGCCCAGTCGCCCAGTCGCCCAGACGCCCATTCACCCGCTCGTCCGCTCGTCCGCTCGCCCGCTCACTGCGCCATAAAATGATGTGCGAGTCTATGAGCATAATACTATGTTTTTCTTTCCAGACCTTATGTATATCATGCACGAGCGTCTTCTTGCGACTTAGACTGATTGTTGTCCGTCTTGAAACTGAAGCCAAAGAAAATGGTACGGCTGCTGTTGTTGTAGTTGTTGTAGTTGTTGTTGCTGGTGTTATTATTATTATTGTTGTTGCTGCTACTTTATTACACCACTAGCCGAAGAAGTTTTTGTCGTCATCGTCTTCATCGCAAGGGTCTCTCTCGCTGCCCCGTTGCAGTTGACTGCGCCCCGAGCTGAAGAAACACATTAAAAGCATATCAAATGAAATCATCTGCAGCTCAGCCAACGCAGCAGTTGTCCCGTTCGCTTGGCTCCTCATTCTCACCGCTCAAGCAACCATCCAGCCAGTGCTGTTGCCTTAGTGGTAAGTGGCAACAACACCAATAGCATTAGCAGCAGCAGCAACAGCAGCAGCAGCAGCAACAGCTCTCAACGGAAGCAACAACACTGTGGCCAAAAACTGTTAGTTTCTTGGCGCTTTTTATTGTTTTCGCACTTCCGCACACGTCACGTCTCTTCAGAATTGGTCCCGTGGTCTCTTAAACACTTTTACGAGTGCACCCTACACGCTGGGCATGGTGACCCCATGTTTTAAGCTCATAACTGATTAGCACAGCGAGATGAATCAAATCGTCTGTCCCTCTATAGTATAGACAAGCGCGCCAAGAACATTTTTGTCGATGTTTTGAATCGAAATTTGTTAAGAAGTGAACTATGGAGAGTAATTAGGTTAGGTTTATGAGAAATTTATATAATAGGCAGCAGAAGGCAACTCCGCTACACAAGTAATAATAATACAGATGCTCTATTCGATCTACATAGATACAAATATGACCGACCGCTCGTCCGGAATTATGGAAATGTGGGGAAGGGAATATAAAGTGACCAAAGCTTGTGCCATTTTTTTTATTGGCTACAGGGTATTTCACTATCGGGAGTGCTCGACTGTATCATTTTCTCTTGCTATACCATTTGTTGTTTAACACTTTGAAGCATTTTTATTGACGGCTAATGCGACAAACGCTTGTCACAGGTCTTGACGTTGTAGAAGATGTCAAAAATTTGTGTCATGTCAGCAGACAATCAAAAAACACGCAAGAAAATACCAACAACAGCAGCAACAAGAAACAATAACAACAGCAGCGACAGCGACAGCATCAACTACAACAACAACAACATTACATTGTGCGTATGTCAAATGCTGGCTTTGAAATGGGCTCGGCACAAGCTTTACTTTGCTTTGCTTTGATTTCCATTGTACTTGTTTGTTGTGCTGATGTTGTTGTCGTTGTTGTTATTGTTGTTGTTGTTGTTGTTGCACACACACCGCGCCCAGGTGGCTGGCGGCCTGCAAGTCGTGTGGCGCAACAAATTTCGATATGTGCTGCCTGATACATAACACTAGTACGGGTATGCATGAAAAAAAAAAGTGAAATAGGAGCACATGCAACGCAATTAGTTTTTAGTTTGGAGCCACACCTAATCTGGCCAGTCGGGCTGCTGCGCCTTCCTTCCACAAACCACCATTTCTCGTAAGCCACTAACGACTACTGGGCGTGCGAGCTGCTTAGCCTCAAATTAAGTGCGACTCTTTGTGCAGTATACATATATACAAGTATATATATACATATGCTCATATATACTATTTACACGAAATTCAATTGCTGACCAACGATTTGGTGCGACACTCAGTTATGGAAAGAGGGATCGGCCTTTGACAAGTATATGATGAGTCACTAAAGCTGACAAGTCCTTTCCAGCCTGCACTTAAACGTTTTGGCCAACTGCTAGGCAACGTTATTCGAGCATAACCAGACCCGTTCCAACATAATATATGTATAGTATAATGGAAGCAATCATCAATAAAAATGTGCAGCATTCCATAAGGTACTTGTATATGTAGAGTGCTATTTTGACTTTAATCTAAATGTGTCTAGCATTTATTATACATATGTTTATATTATACGAGCATAACCAGACCCGTTCCAACATATTATCAATAAAAATGTGCAGCATTCCGTTAAGGTACTTGTATATGTAGAGTGATTTTTTTATCTTTTTTTCAGCTGTTTTTTATTGCTCCACATATTTAACTTTTCGCAAAAACCTAACACAATATTTCGGGCATACATCAGTAATCCTCGCTGTTACTCCCTAAAAAAAAGTTTAAACGAAATCAACTATTCTTGTCACTTTTCTTGTTCGATCTCAAAATATATTGATGATATTTTTGGATCTCTCTCCTGCCCTAGGTAACGCCTTTAAGCTCTCCCTACATATTTCTTTAAACAATAGATATAATACCCTAATAATCCATCAATATTGTATCGCTGATCTTAATAGCGAAATTTGCAGAATCTTGTCAGGACTTAAGGGTCACCTCTCAATGATTATCAATGCAAAGTTGATTCAAAAGCTGCACTAGTTGTACAAGACTGTAGAGAAAATTAAGAGCTTAAGCAATTAGATGAGGCGATGTACATACATACTTGTATGTATATACTCATGTGGAAGTATGTATGTACATACTTACTATATATTCCAATTCACCGGAGCACCTCGGCTCTCATTCGCTGGCAATGTGGGGCTTGTCCATGAATATCTTGCCACCCCAAAGGGCCCTTGAGCTGACCCTCGTACAGTCGGGCGCTTGGCACGACATGGCGTCCCATTTCATGTAGCTAACGACTAATTGTTGTATTAATTTGATTTTTGCATAATTCTCTCGGTACACGAGCATATTCTTTGTTGGCATCGGAGTCTTGTCTTCGTAACCCCATTCCCTGCTCAAATGTACAGCTGCAGCCGCAACCAGAGTAGCAATCATAAATATACAAATTTATGATTATTAAAAGTTAGTGAGCTGCTCTGTCATGTTTTTGTTGCTACTTTTGTTGTTGTTGTTGTTGATGCTGCCATACAAATGTATGCAACTGGGTGCCACTTTTTCTTGGGCTTTTGATTCGACCCAGCCCTGGGCATGTAAATGGCAGCCAACACGAAAGTTCTCATTGTGCAGAGAGAGAAAAAGGGTGCATGCAACACTTCTTGCTACTGTAACTCGTGCTGATGTTGTTGTTGGTGTTGTTGTTGTTGCTACTGAAAATTCGCCTACTCCCATGACAGTGCAAAAGATCGCATCGCAGAAATCGTATGTCAATGCCATTGAGCACTTCAAATGGGAGACAGACAAGTGTTCACAAATTGCGCATTTTGGTGTGAACAAGCAACAAAATTAACACAATTAAAAATTCATTAAAACGTCTTTGTAAAGGAAAGAAAAAACTGAAACTGAAGGTCAACCGTTTTGTTGGTCAAGTGACAAGCGTGTTGTGGGTGCTGAGCGTTATCTTTTGCCATAAAGTTAGCAATCGCATCATCTTGAAACGTTCAAAAAGTGTCAAAATTTATTTCTATCTGTAGCCATGACCATGCTTCTACAAGTTGGATTTGCCAAAATGGCAGCGAATGAGACTATTGAATGGTCAATAAATTCCGAAAATACCAAAATAGGAGACCATCTTTTAACTTTTTTAGCGCTGCGTGAAAGATTCGAAATGGCTTTTTCAAATGACGTGACAAGCAATTCCAATGATTAATTAGCATTGGCATTATTAATTATTAATTGCTCAATTTTCCAAGCAGCCTAATGCCAGCTAAAAGCAATTTCATGTTATACTCTTATGTAAGTGATGGTCAAGTGAAAAGTTTCCCTAAAAAGGACATCCATTTCATTCCATAAACTAAGCGTTTAGTCTTTTGAGTATGCTAGCCTAAATCCAAGCAAGTAGACATACAAAAAATCAATCACTAGCAGGTATAACAAGTTCCATCACTGCATTACGTCTTCTAATTTTTCTCAATTTTTCCTGTTTCCCAGCGAGATATGTACAGTGCTATGAGCTATGAGCTATGAGCTTATGGAACAGTGAAAACTACATAGCTTTAGCGCAGATGGAGATAACGTCTTAGCTCATATGCCAATAAATTAGCTAAACAATATATTTATATATATTATATATTTATATATTTATATATATAAATATATTTATCATAATATATTTATGAATATATTTGTTTTTCTTGTTTTTTACAGTTTTAGTTTACATATATATGAATATATATATATATATATATATATATATATATATATATATATATAGTATATGATTTGAATAGCTGATTTTTGTTTAAGTGGTTGAGTAGAGTGAAGTTTAATGCAGTTCATATTCCCGCCTTTGGAGGCCTATAACAACGAAACTAGTATGCCTTAAACGAAAGTTGTACTACAATTTGAAAGCCTATAGCCTCTAGTTTAATAAAGAATTCTATTTATTTATGGTATCCTATGTAATATGTATTTATTTATGTATGGTATGTAACCATTCAGTGCCGTCAGGAAACAGAGAAGCACTTCCTCACTAGAGCTTAGAGCTTAGAAGGGCTTAGTTGAAACTCACCTGGACAGCACAGTTGAGAAAACAATTATTTTGTCCGGGTCCATTGAGCAGCCCCTTCGACGACGGCTCCATTGTGGGCGATGTGAGATTGTTGGGTGCACGGAGCAGCTCCATTAGGCGATTGCGTTCGGCACTATTTTGCACGGCGCCCACAGCGTAGGGTTTTGGGGGCGGCGTACTCATATAAAGGGCGTTATGCGCCATGGGCGTGGCTGCACTCGCATTAGACTGACGATACAGTGTGCTGGTCATTGGCGTGGCCATCTTCTAATCGTAATAGCGGGGGCAGTACAGTGGTGGGTGATTAGTCGTCTAGGGCTGGCATCGCTGCAAGGAAGGAAAAGAGCACAAATTTATAAAATGTCGTACAAATACAAGACTTCAAGACTTGGGAATGGCAACATATAATTTCTGACGAGCCGCTGTTTAGCTGTCAACATAAATCTCAGCAATGTGGCACTGACAACATAATTAGACGCCCACACGCGCTAGCCGCCCTGGCAAAAAAAAATAAGAAGCAGAAAACGAGCAACAAAAACAACGAACACCAAGAAACAATACAAAAAAAAAATGTAGCCAAACGGTCGACCGAATTGATGGCTTGGGCTTACGTGTTGTCGGCACTTAGATACTCGTAGGTGAGAAAATTCTCGCAACTTAAAAAAATAAAAAACAGATTAGATTGCCCCGCTCAGCCCTCTTAGCAGAAAAAAAAAACCAGTAGCTGCCACTTTTATGATTTCTCGTCTTGGCGGATTAGCATTTTTTATGAGCCATGCTGCCCCTCTCCTTCTTCTTATTATTTTTTTTCTCTCAAGTTCTGCGAGTGAAAGTTGGCGGCTATCAAAGACATTTTCAGCATGCTTTTGCGCATGTGTGTGTGTGTGTGTGTGTGTGTGTATCTGTGTGTTAGCAAGTATGTCACTGGCCAGCACTCACATTGCCATTCAACGGAAATGGCCAACTTGCATTATGCAACCTTTAATTGTTGTTGTTGCTGCTGCTGCCGCCACTACTATGCGCCAGCATTCCCATTCATTCACAAAATAGCCAACGGCCGGCAGACAAAGCGCATGTTTGGCGATTTGCTTGGCCAATTTGGCTGCCCGGCTGCCCGGCTGCCGCTTGACATTGCTTTGGCTCCTTCAACGGAGTTGAAAGAATTTGCGCCTGCCTGCTGCTGGCAAACGAAAGACTTAGGCAGCAAACTTAACGTTCGCGCATTCTGAATGGGTGATGCAGTTTACTAGTAATCTGTGGCAGATTCGCTGGATGCTGATGCTCTATAGAGTATGCACCATATTTACATTTGTTCTAAGTATATGGACAAGCCAGTATTTGCACACATTTTAACATACATATTACTAACAATAACTACTGGATTAAAACCCAAATAAAACTAGTTTTGACTGCTGAAACTGCATATAAATACATAATGCATATATACATATTATATATATTACATATAATAAGACAAAAATAAAAAAGAGAGACAAATTTAACATGATATTATTGACATACCGCTTCAGTTTTAAATAGCTAACGTAACCTTTCCGAACTTTGTAACATTTTATTGTTAAAGTAATCAATATTTCTTTCTTTATTCTATTTTTAGCTCAACAAATGTTGACTGTCCACATAAGACAATTGACTATAAAAGTAAGTAGAAATCTAATCAAATCACAATAATATCTAATAGCATAAGAACCTTTTTATTGTATATAACAAACAAATAAATACAACTAAATAAATTCCCTTTTAATACCTTTCTCCCCTTTCATAAAACTGGATGTGTAACTGTAAGATGTGCCTGTGTACTACATATATGGATATTTAAATTTATTTTAATTTATTTTTTAACTTTATTTTTACGTTCTAGTTCAGTTTAAATTAAAAGATTTCTAATAGTTTAAACAATAGCACTGACCCTGCGGCAGCTTTCTACTTTAAATAAAGGTAAAGGTACTAAGTCTACCAAGAAATAGGCTTCACTATAAGGAGTGTGTATTTAATATTTAGCTGAATAAGAATGCACATACAAATAGTTATAAAACCAACTGGTTCCTCATATTTGTTTGGCAATCCTTTGACAAAGACCGGATCTGCCAGCATCCATTGAAATCGTTCCATAAACAAGCAAGGATGTGCTCTCTTCGGATAATTCGAAGCACCCTCGACCACCCTCGAATTGCCGCATTCCTATTACTTTGGTTTTTTCGCTTCCATCTATAATTAAATATATGCGCGTTCACAGCTGCAACGATGACTGAAAGATCAGCGCTATTGAGTGCATAATGCTCGTTATGCTTTATCTACGACTCTGCCTGTTTGTTTTGCATACTAATTGAGTTGAAGAACGCACGAATGAATGGTAGAACAGCACCCCCTGCCCGGCCCGGCCCTGCCCTGCCCTGCCCTGCCCCGCACACTGCTGGCATTCAAGATTGTGTGAATGAGAAGAGGTATTGTAAGATGATGATCGGGTCTACTCGCATAACTGCTTGCCAATTGCTGCACTTGGCATTTCAATTGCTGTGCGTGAAATGCAACAATTTTGCAGAAATTTCATGCAACGAGGCAAACGACACCATCCGCAATGGAAATAATAAAAACACAAAAGAAATGATTGGATCGAAACAGTTCGGATTGCATCGGATCGGATAGGATCGGATCGGATCGCACCGTATTGGATTGGCCAATCAACACTTAACGCTGCACGCCCAAACGAGCGGCTGTCAATTCAATTTCTATTTACCACATAAACGTACGAGTACGTATACGAGTCTGTGTGGTATCATTAACTCAGCCACATTAATGCTTATGTTGTTGGCATATTTCGGCATCTCGATGCAGTTTAATTAAAATTCTTTATAAATTACACGGGGCCTCAAAATTTACGAGTACGCATGCAGACCAGAGTCGCCAGTCAAGTGGCTGCCATCAATGCGTGCACGCAATGCAAATGCCAAGCCAGCCAGTCAGTCAGCCAGCCAGTCAGTCCAGCAATCCAGCAGGCCAGCAAGCCAGCAAGCCAACAAACAAAACTAGTCGTTGTGCTCTTAAATGCTGGGCCGCTTTCTTTTTACAAGTTGTTCACATATTTTATACATAATACATAATTTTATTGTTTTTGTTGTTGTTGTTGTTGTGGTAGTTGCCGTTGCCGTTGGCGTGAGAAATGGCCGAGCTTTAAACAAATTTAAAAATCAATCAATAAAATCGTCGTTGATATCAAGCGATTAATGAAAAAACACATTCTTCGGCATAGTTTTTATTTTACGATTTTCTGGATGTCTGCTTTCTCCTAATCCTAGAAATATTTCTCTCGTTTGCATAAGCGGCCTGCTGAGCTCATTGGCCGATCCATTAGCGCGTCAGGCAACAACAACAACAACAACAACCACAACAAGCATATGGTATGACAAATTATAACAAATTAGAGATGAGCTCAGCATAATTTCAACTTTTAAACTAAAAGAATACAATTTCAGAATTTCAGAATGTTAATATAAATATTTGCTGCTGGCGCCAGCTTTAAGATTATTCATGCTATTGTTTGTGTGTGCGGCGTGCGTGTGTGTGTGTGTGTGTGTGTGTGTGTGTGTGTGTGTGTGTGTGCGAGTGTGTTTCTATATATGTAGAAACGCAGAAACGTGACATTATGCAAAACAATAGTGAGACGCAATTGCCAACATACAATTGGCAGTGGGTTTTTTTCCAACTCTCTACATACATACATTGTATGTCTGTATACATGCCAGTACCTAAATACATGGCCGTAGCGAGGGGGGTGCAAAGCGGGCAGCTGCCCCCCCCCCCCCCCCCCCCCCCCCCCCCCCCCCCTAGATTATGAACGGATCAAAAATTTTGCAGACAAATTTGAATTTGTGCTGCATTGTACAAAAATCACGAAAAAAGACATCCATTTTATGGCTACGGTTAATTTATCAGCTAGATTGCTATGAAAATATAATGTTGAGAATATATACCTATATATATGGGCATGAAAATATTGTGTTAATATGCTCAACTTATAACTCTTTACTAGCCCTACTTGTATATTTAGTGCTAAGGTTGATTTTGGGCAACGGGACAAACGGGGCAAATAAGTTGTTTTTCCGGCCAACAGTTCACTGATTTTATCGAAACCTGAGGCAATATATATTAATGCGACTAATTTTAAAACGTTGTGCATTATTGTCTCTTAAAAATAGTTTTGGTATAACAGTTCAGAAAATGCAGTTTCAGTTCTAAACTGTCGAAACAAAATGATTTTAGATTTCTTTATCTGCCATAACGTTCTTTTGATAACTGGCCCGACCCCAGATACGGCTCCCATTCTATTTATGCTTCTTTTTAGAAAATTAACTGGAGTTGATACTATAAATTGATTTTCAAACTGAGAGCAGCACCCATTAGAAAAAATTACATATTTTTCTAACCGTTTGCACGCCACTTTATTTTTTTCGCAGCCGGTGTTATTCATCTAGATTTCAATCATTTTAAAGTATGTACTTGTACATACGAGTATATAAAAATTTATCATTTATGTAAGAAAACATAATTTCAAATTCTTAAATTTTACACTCTCGATGTCGCACGGGACCAAATTTATATTAGTTCCACGATCACAAATTTTCTTATTTTTTACCAAGTTTTTTTACATTTTATTGCATTCGAAATTTCACATTTTCATTATTTTGAATTTCTTTTTTCCATATTTTTCATGTGTTTTTTGTATAGTGGAAATAATTTGATAGTAAAAAATCGGCCAAAAAAATCTTGCCCGCCCCCCTGGACTAAATCCTGGCTACGCCCATGCCTAAATATATGCATATATCTGCACATGTATGTAAATTTGTGTGTGCTTGCTCGCCGGCCTAATTTGCAAAACGTGTGTAGAAACGCAAACTTGATGCAATTTTGTGGCCAAAAGATAATGGAGCATGTAATGCAGTACAAAATGAGAACGTACGGCGTGCACTATGCGTGGGGCCTCCAACTGCCGGCCGACTGTCGACTCTCGACTGCCTACAGCAGCAAAAGCAACATCAACATCAGCATCCAAGAACAACAACAACAACGACAACGAATCGGATCACAAACCGGACGTGCCATGGAAAATATTAAGAATTTGTTGCAAATGTTGAGAATGCGAAAGAGAAGCTTTTGCATAGTCGGCACAAAATCTGGATTGCAATTGAATTTAGATGCTCAAGTTTTTATAAATTGTATATACTTGTAGTTTTCATTTCATTTTTACTCAAGTATTTATTTATTTATTTAATTATAGTTAACAAAGA